ATGTGGAGATCACTGCTTCTGTGGTATGCATATTGAAAAAGTTTTGCATCCTGGGATCTTGGTTGTATTAAAACTTTGCTTTGAGGCTAAAGTGCCCATGAAAATTCCATCACATCCTTCATATCTCTGCCATTATATATGTTTTTGTAACCATTCACAGAGTTGAGAGTAATGCCTACAGAACTGACCTGTTCATTAAGAACCTGTAGAATGCAGTTTATTTGTCCAGACTCTTTAGTGAAGAGCTGTACATGACAGGCATAGCTGTATATCCTAGAATTGGTTTGAGAATGATTTGTGAACAGAAAAAAAATAATGGATATTAATGTTCTTATGAAGTTGATATCCATTACTAATATAATTGGCTATAGCAATCATAAAAATGACATCTATCAATGGTAGCATGCAGATAAGGTATTACATTGTATATAGAGATTGTTTTCCCAAACATAACAAAACTATACTATCAAACATAGGTACTGAAGGTAAATTAAACCTGTTTCAAACTTGAAGGCTGTAGGGTTTTTCATCTCCCAGGTGTCTTAATAAGATAGGGCATATCAAACCACTATTGACATGATGGGAATCTCTCTACTGTCTTGCGTTTTAGCTTTTATATGCTTAAACTAAAATTTAAGCATGTAAAATGTGAATAAGTTCATTATCTTCAGTGGGAATAATAGTATGAATAAAGTTAAGCATATAGTTGTTTATAGGATCAAGACTATACTCAGCCTTAGATTTAAAAGCTTGACTTTATGTTTACATGTATAGATTTTATAAATACATAAATCTAGTAACATAAAAAATCCTTCCACTAAAACTTAAATATGGTACAAAATATTGGACAATTATAGCATTTCTGAATTGATGAACTTCATGTGATCTTTGCAGAACAGCACCATGGGAAGCTTTTAGACAACTAACTGGAACCAAGCAGACTTTAACCAGGTGAAATATTTTATTTTAGGCAAAAAAAAAGTAAAACATATGACTATTTCATTTTCATAATTGTATTTCTAGCTTTGTTATTTTAATAAAAATAGGTAATTCTCTTTCAATTATTTTCTATACTGCTTTTATGCTATACTTAGAATATTAGTGTTCCAAAAGTTATGAGTTTTAATGTAAAGTTCTGTCTCTGATGCAAATATATCCACCCAACTGTGAATAAATACAGTTATGCTATATGGGTAGGGACACTGGCTCACTGACAGAGACTAGTTTGAGAGCGACAACATGTTGCAATTGAACAGCTAGATGTTTAGTGGCCCATAACAGTGATACAAGTTGGAAGCAGAGCCATGCTGGGAAAGACCATTTTCTTTTTCAGATTTTCTTAAAAATATATTTTATTGTAGTTTGGGCTAAGTAGAATATCTGCATGGCAATCTGTTTGACAGCCTTACTTGGGAGCATCAAACTCTGGAGACCTTGAGGTCCCCACTGGAGCTTGGAATCTATTGTGGCTAGTAGACTGAATGGAAGTGGAGCATCTGGAAGCCCTGATAAAAGTCCCAGAGTGCATTTACTTGTCCACATTTACTGCACAGTAATTTAAATTACGATGCAGTAACTGAAAATTATTGTGCAGTTAGATTCATAGATGTTAGGGTCGGAAGGGACCTCAATAGATCATCGAGTCTGACCCCCTGCATAGGCAGGAAAGAGGGCTGGGTCTAGATGACCCCAGCTAGATGCTTATCCAACCTCCTCTTGAAGACCCCCAGGGTAGGGGAGAGCACCACCTCCCTTGGGAGCCCGTTCCAGACCTTGGCCACTCGAACTGTGAAGTTCCTCCTAATGTCCAATCTAAATCTGCTCTCTGCTAGCTTGTGGCCATTATTTCTTGTAACCCCCGGGGGTGCCTTGGTGAATAAATACTCACCAATTCCCTTCTGTGCCCCCGTAATGAACTTATAGGCAGCCACAAGGTCGCCTCTCAACCTTCCCTTGCGGAAGGGCACACATCTACATGTGCATGCCCTTACAGCTCAGTAAATATGGTGACTTAAGCTGACTTGGATGTAAATTTGATACCTGTATCATGCAGATAGCAAATTACACCCATTTAGTTACTGTGCAGTAACTTTAGTCCCAAGTAACTTTAAAGTTACTGTGCAGTAACTTTGGTCCCAAGACAGTCCACACACAGTGTTACTGCGCTTTAATGGCTACATGTGTAGACACCAGCCTAAAAACTGCTTACTGCATTGTAATTTACTACACAGTAAATTACTGCATAGTAAATGCATGTGTAGATGTGCCCCAGTTGCCCATCAGCACACCAGGTGGACTGCCAAAGACAAGCCAGGAAGGCAAAGTGATAGGAAAGCCAGAGAATTTATTAAAATATATTAGTCACTATAAACACACATTGATTTTTGATCTGATAGTCCCCAACAGAAAAGAAAAAACAAGGATAAAAACAAGGGGAAAAACAAGTACAATTCTATATAACCATTCCCATTGAGCACTAACCAGTACTATTTGCTTGGAAACTAGAGGAGAGATCCTAGAAACAGCTTAAAGTTTGCACCCATTTTTGGATAAAATGAAAGCTCTTCAGAAACAGAATTTGTCTTAATATCAAATGTCACTGGGCAACCAAGAAAGCAGAATAGAGATAGATTTATTGCAATAGAAGGTAGTGGTGTGATCTAAAATACAGCAAAGGTTATACAAATTACTTGAAACAAGCTTACTTTGCATTCTCCAAGGCAATTTTTAATAAGAAAAAAATCAACAATTTAAAGCAGAATTAAAAATTGTAAAAAGATTGACAGTGGTATGGGTTTTATTGCAAAGTGATTTTCAGTAAAGCAAGATAGCAAATAATAAAAATGATCATTGTTACCTATCCTACATATATGAATTCTTGTATATACAGCAGAGAGAGCTCAATTAGGATCACACAGAGATCTAATATTGTGTAAGGAGCTTCATCCATAATTCAGTTTAGGACATGATTAAGGAAATTATTAAGATGACATTAGGCAACACAGGATGCATTTAATTAGTGCATTGGCTTGAGTGAGTTACTGGGTCAGTTAGTGTCCAGTAGCCTCACTAAGGATGCCTCCTTGCATTCATTAAAATAAATAAGTCACTTCTTCTTCCAAAACACTAGGTTTGGCATCAAGCCAAGGAATTGGAAAGCTTTAGAAAGAACACTGTACATGAAAAAAGATAGCAAAATGTTAAGACGGTGTTGTAAAGAGCAGAAGACTCTAAAGTCTAATAGGCTAATAAGCAAAGGAGAAGAGGACCAATTATAAATGCTTGGAAGCAGAAACATCTCTTGATTGGAACACCAGGTTTTAAATCTAAGCTAAAGAGCTTTTGTCCCATTTACAACCTGATCGTAACAAGCATCAGCACTACTGTCACCTTCATACGTTTTCTTTAGTTTTTATTTATTGAATTCCAGTGTTCACAAACCTTAATGAATTATCATTTTCAGGAGATGATTCAAAATGCAAATTTTAATTAAAAAAATCTGCATAAAAATAAACCGTTCGTTTACGTGTACAGAAGAACTGAAAATTGCAGAATGTAAGAATATCTATTGGGAAATGGAAGGTGCCTAGATTAGTACCACCCAAAAGTTCCTATCAGTCTAAACACCAATCTTTGTTCTACATGAAAAGACACCTTGCATATGTACCATGTTTATGTCCTAATTGCAGCTGCTTCCCTGATCCTTCAGACTACACAATGCCCACATTGGTCCATTCTTCCTGAGCATCATTTCAAATTTGAAGCCAAAAACCTTAATTCTTAAATTGACAAATGTATTGCAAAGACTCCTGAGTGTATAAACATATTCCACTCTTCCACTAAGGACAGCATTTATTGGGCAAGGATTTAGCTTGTTCTGATTTCAAGAGTCAGGTGACCAAAACATATAATTAAAGATTTTTTTTTCACATTACTAAACTTCATCTTAGCCTACAATAGACAGAAAAGCAACTGACTACAGTAAAAGACAAGCATGGAAACATTGTCTAAAACTACATTCGCATACATTGGGCATGTCTACATGTGCTTATTAATCTGTTTGAATAAACTCTAGAGTTTATCATTCCAGAGTTTATTCAAGTTGGGTGTGCATCTGTGTGTGTGCTTGGGATTGCAAGACATGGAGCTGGGGCAAAGGAGCCCTGGCAAGCAGGGGAACCAGGTGGTCAGCCTGCCAGCCCAGGACTGCTCCTCCTGGCTCAGGGTGCTGTGGAGAGCCTGACTGCAGCACGAGGGCACTTCAGCACAGGGCTAGCTGGCAGGCAGCCCCCATGCTGAAGCACCTTCATGCCCCAGCCAGCCCTTCCAATGTCTATACATGTACTGCTGCAGAGTTTTCTCCACAGCACCCAGTACTTGTACAAGCACTATCCTGCTCCAGACTAAATGAGTTTACTGCAGCCTAATAGTGTAACACATATAGATGAGAAATATTTAATGCACAACTAATTAGCCAACTGCACAGAAAATGTCTCATGTAGACATGCTCATTGATTTGCCAAAATGAAGTAGCATATGATATAAGGTCTTGCTGCTTTATTTTGAACATTTCTTTTTTTGCTACCAGTAATCAGAGTCAAGTCTTTGTGGAGAACCTGACTAGGCTGTCTATATTAATAGATATAGTGTGCTGCCAATTTCACCATCTCTGTCATTTATAAATTGCAATGAATGTGCTTATTATGGTTGGATTACTTAAAATTCACACCATGTTTCTTTCTCTTTCTCTTGATATTGAAGTTCACAATCTTAATAGGCCTACTCCTTAGAGTAGAAAATGTTCCTTAATTCACATTAGACTATAAATTAATCTCTACATTTCATTGTTACTAAACTTTGATCTCTAATATTTCTTGCAGCTTAGCCCACGGGACCTTTCTAGTAGAATTTTGCAGTTCTATTGCCAAGAGACGGCTCTATGATTAATGATTTTTTTACATCAAGTTTGAAATTATTCTCTTTATCTGTGCATGTTTCAGGGAGGGCCAGCAATCTCCAGAACAGTGGCAGAAAATGTATGGCAGATGCTCTGGTAATGAAGTGTATCATATTAACCTGGAGGAGAGTACATTTTTTGCTGAGTATGAGGGGAAAAGCTTCACATATGCTTCTTTCCATGCACATAAAAAGTATGTTCCTTTCCTTATTGCAATATTAAAAATTCAAACAAATTGTTATGTTGTGCTATGAAAGTATTGTACTAGAAGGCCCCATATTGTGTATTGTTTTGCTCTACTTTTAAATGTCTGTTTACCTTTATAAACTTCACAGGTCTTTTGTAATTATGGTAGTCATGCTAATCAGAAGAAAATTCCTCTTAGTTGTGAACGTGTCAAGCCAGCCTTACTAATGCAATGAAGATGAGTCCTGTCTCAGGCAATGTGAAGAATGGGTCTGGAAATTAGAAGGATGCATACATCTAAAAAATTGAATAGTTAAAACATTGGTCATTAAGTGTACCCTCTACTTTATCCAATCTACCCTACAAAGAGTTTTTTTTGTTTGTTTGTTTTCATTTTGGTTCACTTTTGAATTTGAGTTTCCTTCACAACATGCCTGTTCTCTTCAAGGTCAACTTCACATGGAACTGGTATATATCTTCTGAGGACTACCCTAACAATAACAGAACATTTCTGGAAATAACCTTCAGAATACCTATGATACTTTCTTTCTTGATGTTGTTGGTTTTGTATAGATTAAAAGATACGTCTATAGGCAGTGCCATGCAGGAATAGCCCACGCTTATTTTGCAAGCTTGATCGGCTTGTTCAAGCAAGTTTCAAAATTGGAAACAGTATAGCCATAGTAACCCAATGCTGCTCGGGGCTAATAGGCTCTCCTGGGAAATAGGGTTTAGTGGCCTGGATAAAATTCTGTGTTAGTGCATCTGTAATGCATTTGATTCCATAGCTATCACAAGCAGACCTATCTTTCAATAATCTCTACATGATGCTACATTGTGTAGTGTAGACATACCATAATTATCAAATCCATTGTTACTGAAACATGCGCTAGGCCTAATCCAGCTTCATCTATTAACAATCTCACAATCTCAACTAATTTCCAGATTACTTTAAACTGCACTTCAAATTGTGCCCTGATTGCTTTGCAATATTCACTTAGTTTGTATGTTGTATGTTTGTATCAACTAAAAAGATGGTTTAAAATAAAATTAATGATAAAACTAGTAATCTGTGATGAACATATACATGAAAAATATCTCAAAATCATTTTAATGCGCTGAAAACTGAGTTGTCTTTCAAAATTTTGAAATGAAAAAGGTGCTATCATTTTAATTCTTTATCTTCTACTACTGATCAAACAGCTTTTTAAGAATGAGCAATTAAAATATATGGTGAAATAGTTTCATTTGAAAGGTGCATAATGGAACAATTTAGTGGGAAGAATAATTTCTCATAACAGAGTTTCATTCTTCTTTTAATGTACTCTCAGAAGGGAATATGTTTCTCATATGAGAAATTAACTGAAACAATGTTAGGAGAATGCTGTTAGATATCAAAAACTTTTTAAAATAACTTGGGACTCACGGTCCTTAAAAACAGTGCCTGGTTACAAATCACTTATTCTGGGGATAATTTTATTAAATACAGTATTTTTCCAAATACATTTATTATCCAAGAACATGAATGTGTGGGCAGCCTGCAACAAATAAATTGGACTAAATCAGATGTTCATTATTGACATCTCCATTTTCTTGTATTCTGTTGTGTCACATTTAATGAACTGTGTCCTTTCCTCTTTTAATTAGGTTTGGGGTCTGTTTGATTGGTGTTAGGAGAGAAGATAACAAAAATATTTTGCTGAATCCAGGCCCTCGATACACAATGAGCTCTACAGATATATGTTTTTATATAAATATCACCAAAGAAGAAAATTCTGCTTTTAAGAAGCAGGAAGAGAATAGAAAAAACAATGAATCAAAGGCATGCTATCATGGACCTTCTAGGTTACCAGTACACAGTATAATTGCCAGTATGGGTAAGTCAAAGTAAATCTCATAAAGTATTCTTACACTATAAACAGTACATTTTTGATCTTTCAATGATTTTTCCTAACACACTAATGCCCTTTCTTAGTGAAAACATTTTCCTTGATTTGTTTTAAACATATTTACTTAATTTTTAAAAAAAATTATATTTATGTTAGATTTCCTCTTTTTTGATAAAATCAGCATGGGTGGTCTTTAAGAGGAAGCAGGTAACCCTATTGAAGAAACCCACCTGTGAGCATTTAAGCAATGAAGGAGTATCCCACTAGTTTAAAACCCCTCAAGGGAAACCAGAAGGATGCAAACTGGGTGAAGCAGCAGTTTGCAGACAGGAGGCAAATTGGACCCCAAATAAGTTTGCTACCAGGAAGGGGTCATACTATTGTCCTGGGACCAAAGGACCCTTCCTACCACTAAGAGAAAGGCCAAAGGTTTGTGTTTGCTGGTTTATTTGTTTGTTTGATGCAAGGATTGTGCTTTTGTATTTTAAAACACTAGCTGAGTTGCTCCTTAGGGAGCAAAGCCAGCTGGCAAAGCAGCAAACTCGCGTATGTAGCATAAATGATATTGCCTTGTGGAATACATCAAGAAAATATGATAGATAGAATTATGCAACTGACAAAATGTGAGGTAAATAATACTACTCAGTCCTCTATATTTAGTCACTTTCCGAAGAAGTCCACAAATCTATTTCAAACTTGACAAAGTTTAAACTAGTTTGCAGGTGGAGCAGCCAGGTATAATATTAACTTGACCAAAAGGAGAGATCTCCAAATTTGTAGAAATATCCAAGTGAAAGAACAAGCACAGGAGTTCCCATATCACCAGCATCCTGTAAATTGACATAAGAGTAGGCCCAATAGAAATAAATATTCTTGTGATGACCCTTTATAGCTAGAAGCCATCAAGTAAAAGCTAATGCCTGAAATCAGGTTGGACTCACAGAAGGAGCATAAAACAATTTTTGCCATCACTAATACCCAGTTGGTTTAGTCAGGCATGATCTTGCTTTAAGCAGGGGACTGGACTAGATGACCTTGTAAGGTCACTTCCAGCCCAGCTTTATCATGATCCTATGATCTACCAGGTGTCACAGTTCCCAGACTTGATGCCTGTGTGTGCATATCAGGATCATTTATTCATAAAGACACTGTAATCTCTTGATGTCTCTAAAATACCTTGCTCTAAAATTGGACCTTGATTCATTATGTATTAAAGCAATATTTTTGATCTAACTAAAAGTACCGACAATCTAAAAACATCCCCTGTGATGATTTCCTATGTTTATGAATAAGCACAAGCTAATTGTCCAGAAACTGTCCTAATTTTTAACATCACTAATTCTAATCAAGAATTTTTCTTTTTGAATCTCTCCAGAAAGTTGTATAAACTAGAAGATAAAAGATCCCATGTCCGAGTATCTGATTTTTCCTTTATTTGGTCAAGCATGTGAGGAAAATATATGTTGTTCTCTCAAGCAGAACATAGTATAAGCAGAAAAAATTAAACCAGGATGTCAAATTCTTATCTCATTTAAAACATCAGGGGTATGTCTACATAAAACGCTATGTCGCCTTAGGGATGAGCTATGGCAAAGTAGCTCACCACTGTGGTGATGTAGCATCAGCAGGCACTAGCTGTGATGGCTCTGCTACTGCACAATAGGGTCAGAAGCAACTAGTGTGCCACCAGTACTGGTGGGTACTGGGCAGTCATTTAGTATTTGCTTTGACACAACAAGTGCTGTCTTCCTTTGCCTTTCCAGCTATGGTACACTGTACCAGTCACCCACCTAGAGGTGTCTTGCAGGAGAAGCTGGGCATCTGTTCTGTCCCTTCTCCCCAGGCTGTTTCAGAGCAGCAAGTTCCAGACCTTTTCCATTTATTGTATTAGTAGTAGTATCATCATCACTTTAGCAAGTACTAAATAACTGAGAAGTACCAACTGCGCAGAGGGGTGCATGTGTAGACATGCCCCATAAGTATGATACTTTTATCTGGAGAAATGCCTGAGGTATTCAGTCAGAATTACGTATAAATATATGTTGTTTTCATAAATTCAGTATAACCTGTAGTTTATTGATGCATATCAGCAAATCCAACTGTGTGTAGCATAGTTTTTTAAGGTTGTTTTCATTCAGACTATTTAATTTTAAACTGACAATTTTTTTTCCCCACACAGAGTATAATTAAAATGTGGAACTCATTGCCATAAAATGTTGTAGAAATTGATAGTTTAACCAGATTCAAACAGAGATTGGACAAGTTCTTGGAGGAAAGGTGCATCAGTAACTATTGAACAAGGGAATCCTTCCTAGACCTTAAATGCTGGATGCTGTAAGTGGAAGAGGAATGGGAGAAAAACCTGGTCAAACCCAGTTTACTATCCTTTTACTCTTCCTTTCAGCATCCACCCTCTGTCACGGTCAGCCCAGACAGAAAATACTCTTTTCTCTTGATCTGGCCACAGAAAGCGGTCTATATCTGTGACCAAACTTAAGTGCATGGCTGCAGACTGCTTCAAAAATGGCCGATTGGGTGAAATTGTGAACCCTCATTGCATGAGAGTTTAGATGAAGACATTTCAAAATAGAGGCATCTTCTGTAACTTGTGTCTGCACTGCCTGCCAGCCTGTCACTTTCAGAATGGGAGGGAGAAAAAAGAGTGGAAGGAGTTTGGTCTGGGTTTTTTTTCAGCCCCTGCTGGAGGGTGGGATGGGTGTATTGGAGACCTCCCACCTCCAGGGAACCCCTAGAGCAGGGATAGGCAATTATTTCGGGTGGAAGGACGTTTACTGAGTTTTGGCAAGCCATCGAGGGCTGCATGGGTAGCCCTGCTCCTTGATGGGTGCCCCACCCCCTGGTTGTCATCTTTGGACCAGAAGTCCCTTCCTCTAACCCCTGACCTTTGCCACCAGAAGTCCCTCTCCTTGCCCCCCAGAATTACTCCTTTCAGCAAGGGTTTTTGCCATCTTTGAACCAGAAAAATACCAAATTATACTCTAAATATCAAACATGTACTACAACATTCATTAATTTCATTAAAAAAAATATTATGTCCTGATTTACACGTGTTTGTGTAGTGTACATAGGGGTGATAGTATAATAGCTTAAAATTAAATCTTACTCTTATATATTGTGGGAGGAGGGTGTGGGTGGGAGGGTGGATATAGGTATGTGGGTATGTGCGGTGTGGGGGAGGGTATGTGTGGGGGATTTGCGTGGGGGTGGATAGGTATGTGGGTGTGTATGGGTTTTGTGGGGGGCTGTGAGTGTGTGAGTGGAGGGTGGCTGAGGAAGGTTGTGGCTTTAATGGAGGGGAAGGGTTTGCCCGCAGCCCATTCTGTCAGTGCTCCTGCAAGCCTGGGCTCTGCCACTCCTGGCTATAGGGCACTGGTGTGGGTCCTATGCTCCCACTTGCTGCCACTTGCCTCCTGTCTGCCACTACTGCCCTTGCCACTACTCTCCCACTGCCACTCTGGCACCAGGTCACAGCTGTTTCTGTGGTCCTGGCACTGCAGCTGGGAACCACATGATGCTGGAGTGTGGTGGGCAGGGGGGTGAGTGGGGAAATGGCTGCAGCAGGTGGGGGGAAGGGGCAGCAAGTGGGCGTGCGGAGCACAGCAACAGCTGGGTGGAAACGTGGGGCCTCAGCAGATGCACCAGGGCCAGTGCTGGAAGGGCCCAGAGTGGGATGGCAGGAGCACGGGGCCCAGGCTGGCAGGGTTTGATGGAGCTGAGCTATGCTGTTCAAGCAGGGAGAGGAGGGAGACAGCCTGGCTTCAGAGAGCCCCTGGCAGCCTGGCCCCATGCTCCTACTGTCTCACTCTGGGGGCCCCACCGGTCTGGCTCCAGTACACCAGCATAGGCCCCACACTCCCTTCCAGCTGCTGTGCTCTGCATGCCTGCTTACTGCCCCTTCCCCCTACCTGCTGCAGCCATTTCCCTGCCTGCTCATCTACCCACTGGCTGGCACCAGGTGTTTCCCAACTACAGCACTGGGACTGCAGGAGCTGGTCCAACTGACTCTGAGGACTGGGGCAATCGTTCATGATCCTCCCCTGCCTCCCTCCTCCACTCCTCCTTATCTACATTTCCCTTAGGGCAGGGAGGCAGGAACAGTCCCAGGCCAGAAGCCTCCAGAAGCCCCTGCTAGGCAGAGGCTTTTGGCTGGTGGGTTGGGGCTGAGCCATATTTGCTGCTGCAGCTGCTTAGTTTTGCTGCTGGCTCCCCCTGGGTCCTACTGCCTCTGGCTCCTGTCATCTTTCACAGGTAGCTGGGGCAGATAAATATTAATTTTCTACATCTTTAGGGGCCCTGTGAGCAGGATAAAATGGCCTGGTGGGCCTTATTTTGTCCACCCTTGCCCTAGAGCAAGCTCCCTCTGCTCCCTTTCCCCCCTCCAATTCTGAAAACAGGAACAGGCTGGGAGAGAGGAGGGGCCATTGCTAGAGGAAACCAGCTCCAGGCAGCTAGATTCCCCTTTCCCCTGGAACCAACAGTGAACTTCTGTTTGTTCCAGGGGATCGTTGTAACTCAGAACACTTCCTGTAAAGTGTTCCCAGTTACAGTGAGGAGCTGCACTTCTTTATGTGCCCATGAAACAGGATAATGGGCAGGATGCACTATGGTCTGACTCAATAAACGGCAGTTCTTATGCTCTTACATTCCCATTTTAATTGTAAAATTGGCTAATATCTCTAATAGATACTTTTTTATACTTTTAAGGAACTGTGGCTATAGATCTACAGGATACAGGCTGTAGATCTTCCAGTGGGCCTACACTAGCTCTTCCCTCAGAAGGAAGTAAAGGGGGAAGAAGACCTAGCATAGCACCTGTCTTAGAGGTTGCAGACTCCTCTTCCCTTCAAACATGTGACCTTTTAAGTGACCAGTCAGAAGATGAAATTACTCCATCGGATGATGAAACTTCTGCAGGATCAGAGTATGTATAAATAATGTCAACTACACAATACTATAGTTAGAGGCTAATATTATAAATATCCAGCACATATTTCTGCTTCCTTTGTAATCAACAGGCACAGGACTGCAGGTCTAATTCATACCATTTGGTTTAGTAAGAAACAAAGTGAAACTGATTTTGGGGTAATTATAGCAGATAAGACACCTGAGGACCAGCAGTGAACTGATTTTCTCTTTAGAAGTGAAATAAGTTATTGGCTGAAGCTTTTAAAACTATCTACCTATCTAGTTACGGGAGATCACTGATGTTCAGTAACAAAGATCTACTTGTGTCTTGAACTTTTAAACTATTTCACATGTGCATAAACCTGTGAATCTGGCACTGCTACTGTATAGTGCATAATCATGGGAGTAGTTTTGGCAAGACTCAGCTGATGGTAACCAAAAATGAAAATTGTTGTCCTGAGAATGAAAATACATTTAAAAAGAGGAAGGTCCATCCTGTGAAAAAAATGATTAATTTTTACAGGGGTAATTGTGAGGCATAGCTCAGGACTCTCTGGCATTGGCCACATCGTGCTAAGCTAATCTTTCTGCTACAGTTCAGGGTGTTAAAAGATGTCTACTATATTAGCCATTTTAGCTATATTAGCCCATATCATTTCCTATATTACCCTGCTGTGGCATCACTTAAAGCTTTTTAGATCCCAATTACTTGCAAACATAACATTTATTTGTTTTTATAATAGTTGGTTATATGGCAAGGATATTTACATGATCTTCTTTGCATCCATTATTTAAGTGAAATACCTATTAAATATTGGCCATGTTAATATCTGAGTTAGTTTGTTGCCCTACCAATTATAAAATTGTATTTAGAATTTACATATACAATAAAATAGCAGTTTAATTTACTATTATCAAATAGATAACAATAAAAAGAAATTGTTCTATACTCTTTGTACTCATCTAGGTATGCAAAAGGCTATCCCCCTTACTCTCCTTATATTGGAAGTTCTCCCACATTTTGCCATCTGCTGCATGAAAAAGTGCCATTTTGTTGCCTCCGACTAGATAAGGTAAACATTTTTGATACTGGGTAGAACTATGCATTAAGTAAGTCTTGTATGTTATGGGTGAATATAGTTTTGTCGTTGTCTACACTTACAGATAATCTTTGTTCAGCATCTGTGTAGCCTCACCCACTGCTGATTTAGATTGTCACCAAGATATTTTTGTGTCATGTAGAGTAAGCTGATAATCTTTACCTTTACTAACTGATACATTTTATCTTAAAATGTGAAAAGTCATCTCTAAGGTCATGGTATGGTTTCTTATTATCAACTGCCACTGAATTAATATTTTCTCTTATGATTTTAGGGGTGTCAACATAACTACTATGAAGATGCCAAAGCCTATGGATTCAAAAATAAATTGATTATTGTTGCAGCAGAAACAGCTGGAAATGGTTTATACAATTTTATTGTTCCACTCAGAGCCTATTATAGACCAAAGAAAGAACTCAATCCCATAGTGTTACTACTCGATAACCCGTAAGTGGATTTTTAAGAAAATGTATTACTTTACAATAAGTGCTTGATTCACATTGTGTGCATTACACTCACATTTCACATGAACAATTTTAATCAAAAACAATATGATACATAGATCTAAGTGAAAGGTTGATGACAAAGATGGTATCAGTTGTGTGAGGGACTTGAGTTAGTTTTCAGTGAAGTCAATGGGATTCTTTGACTCATTACTAATACTGGCTTCAGCATGGTAATATAAAATATAAAGCAAAATATCTAAACATCTAGTGCTGTTAACTCTTTTGGTTGAAAAATTAAATAAACTTATAAAACATTAAAAATAGCAAATGTTAAATGAACTATTTAAGTTATAGCATATATTAAAACATTACAGAGTCATTGCATTCAAAAGTTTTTCTAACTTTATCCTAGTCATGGAGTTGGTCCAGCACAAGGTATCACCCACAAACATCCTAGACTTTCATATAATTTCTGGACCATCACAAATACAATATCACTCCAGCACTACTTAAAACATGAAAAGAAGACTGACTTCTCTATAACAGGCTATATCTGTTTTTGTTCCCAATAATTCACACTGCTGACTTGAATTAGGGATCAGTTTTTTTTATATAAAACACACATTTTTGCTATTTAATTCAGAGATAATCATAATAATAAACTGAAAATGCCTTTGAGAAAACATGCCTATCTACTGATAGTCACATGAAAACTACATGTGTGTGTGTATATATATATATATATATATTCAGACTTGTAGGACTCACTGGGCATGTCTACACATGCTATTAATGTGCTCTAAGTTTACTGCACAGTAAAATACTGAACATTATACTTTCCCTGGGAGCACATCTACACGTGTGTCTGACAGGAGCAGTTCAATGCAGGGCTACTCTGGCCCTGCTCTGCCCCTCTACAGCAGCCAGGGAGGGCTCCAGGCTCCTCTAAGTGCCAGCCCCAGACTGGCATAGGGTCCCAGGTCAGGCCTGGGCTCTGGGAGACGAGGGGAGCTGTCCTTCCTCCAGGGTTGCTGCCTCCCAGGTCCACCCTGGGTAGTTGCCTCCTGCCCAGCCTCCACTCCAAGATTGTAGCCTGCTATCCAGTGTGAATTGTTGGACTGAGATCGGAGCAGGGCTGGGCAGCAGGCAGCTGCCTAGAGCAGGGGATGGTGTTCCAGCCCCTGCTTGATGTCTCCAAGTGGGGGCTGGGAAGCAGGCAGTTGATTGGGGAAAGGGACAGTTCCCCTGCCCCCTACTGCCTGGGCTGACTGGGAGCAATTTGCTTCCAGTTAGCTCTCTACACATGCATTACTGTGCAGTAGCTACTGGGCATGTCTATACAAGATGCTAACTGCTCAGTAGCCTAATAACACTGAACAATAGTATGCTGGGCAAAAACTGTGCTAATATGGTGCTGTGCAGTGATATTAGGCTACATCACAGTTAACATCACTAAAAATTGCACCGGCACTACTGCTCAATAGCACAAGTTACTACACATTTATTTAGTACTTCGTTATCCAAGTACTAAACTTAATATGCAGTAACTACGGCACATTAATGAATGTGTAGATGCACCAACTGTGTGGTAAATCTACTACCAGGTAGTAGTCAACTGGACAGTAGACTAATTTATTGCAAAGTAAATTCTGTGCATGTTTAGATGGTGATGCTTTATTGTGCAGTACATTAGTCTACTGCACAGTAAAGTGTCTCATTTAGATGTGCCCACTTGTGCCATTTAATCATATCACTTTAGGAGCAGCTCTGCAACAAATAACACTTTTGGAAACTGCTATAACAGTCTCACTGACACTCTGTAGTGCACACAAGGGAACAATTGCTCTGTTATCCTTCAGCAAAGATTGAATTGTTCTCAAGTATTGTAAGAAGGGCAAAAAATTCTTACACTAGCCACAACCTATATCCATACATTACCAAAGAAAGCCTGGCAAAAGCTGACCTTTTTGGCAGAGAGAATAGCTAAAGATGTTTCATGCCATGCAGCTTAAATCATATTAAATCAAAATTATTCTCATAATCTCTTTGTGTTTTACGTGTTTACATCCTTCAACTTTTAAGTTTGTAAATGAAACCAAGAAATAACATCTCATTTCTTTTTCAAAATAATACTTGGTTACTTAAAACATTCCAACCATTGTTGGGCAGAATAGGAAGAAATAAAGGCCAAAAGCTAGTATTCTACTTCTTCCCAGTGTTTATCAATTTACTCGCCAACAATGTAATGTCTGTCACAGAGCTGATATTTCATAATCCCTTCTACTTCTCTGGAAAATAGTGAATGAGTGCTACTGAAGATGATATTTGTTTCAACTGTGTAAGAAAAATCCTTGCCCCTCACACAATTCTTGGACCATTACAGCTACAACTTCACTAAAATGCTACCAGAATGTTTGTTTCTATTGTGACTCCTATTAATGACTCATTTTATATTTATGCTGAGGCTGTTAATATCATATATCTGGAAATATTTTTTTCAGTAAAAAAAGTTATGGAGTAGTTCAGCATGCTATCAATCAATGCAGTAGTGCAGCCTAAAAATTCTGGTAGAAGACATAGCATTTCTGGAAAACAGGAAAAAGGAAGGAACCATAAAGCATATATTTATTCCATAAAATGAAAAATTCTATGATGTTATTTCAGAACCATAAATTGTACTGAATTTAATAAATGATGGATAAGAAGACATACACTTATGTTGGAGAAAAATCAGTCTGGATGTTGATATCCAATTGTTACTTAACAGAAAAAAAACATTTTGGGTCTTATAAGGTTCACCATCTAACCCCCAAAGCCCATCCGCTTTTCAACAGCAGTTACCTGGAGTGAATCTTCATGTCTTTTCCTTGCCCTAACAGAAATCTAACACAAGTTATGGCTTCCTTTGCCTTTCAAGCTAAGACACACTGTACCAGTCACCCACCTAGAGGTGTCTTGGAGGTGTAGCTGGGCATTCTGTTCTGTCCCTTCTTCCCAGGGTGTTTCAGAGCAGCAAAGTCCAGACCATTTTCTGTTTACTGTATTAGTAGTAGTATCATCATAATGCTTAGGATCCCATGTTATAGCCTAAGACTTCATTGTCACTCTACAGGCACAAAGTAAAAACAGCCCTAAGGAGATTACTTTCGAGGCATAAACCAAAACAGTTAGATAGCAGATTACAAAAGCTAGGGACAGACATTAAAAAGCCAGAGCCTGAATTGATTCAATCTTTGCAGGTTACTCTAACCTGTCTAGACTGAACCAATTTGCAAATTACTATAATTCCCTCTGGACTGAGGAAATGCAGGCGTATGCCTGCAGCTGCTCAGCCCAGGAGCTGAGGGGCACTAGAACATGCCCTCGGCTGCAGAAAAGCTGTGCTGGGGGGGAGGAGGGGGCACATGGCCAGCCCCGTCAGTAGCTTGGAGTGAGCTGGCCAGGGAGGGGGTTGAAGTCACCCTCCCTGTCCCACGGATACAAGCCAGGGTCTGCTAGGCTCTCCCCCATCACTGCTGCAGCGGCAGGGATGCAGCCAGATGCCGGCCAGCATGAAAACCTTAGGTGGGTGTCAGGAAGGGGGGTTATTTCCCCTTCCACGCTGTTGGCCCCTGGGGGACTGCAGAGGGGTCTGCCTACCCTGACCACCACCGCCTAAGGGGCCATACCAGCTGGGTCTGGTTGCACTCCCACCCTGCTGCTGGAGCAGCGAGGGGGCAGGGATCTTGATGGCAGCAGCACCTGCTGTCATGGTGTCTGGGGAGCAAAAGCCTCTTCCCAATGGGGTGCCGTCAGCGGGGATCAAAGCTACCGTGGCCTGTGCAGGGCAGCACTAGGGCTTGAAGGGGGCCATAGCCCCCCCAAAGGCCTCCAGCACCACTGCTGCTGCTCACCCTTCACAGTCCACGGTAGCTTTCCCTGCCTCGCAAAGTGATCACTGAACAACTTTGTTTCTCATTTATCCACGCTGGCTGCTTGTGATCAGCCCTTCTTCTTCCAGATGCTTGCAGATGACCTTTCTTAGAATATGCCCCAATAACTTCCTAGGTATTGAGGTGAGGCTAACTGATCTGTAGTTCCCCAGGTCCTCCTTTTTGCATTTTTTTTTGCCCTTTTTCCATCTTCTGGTACCTGGCCCATCTCACATGACTTCATGAAAATCATTGCCAAGAGCTCCAACATCTCCTCTGCCAGTTCCTTTAGGACCCTGGGATGAAGTTCATCCAGTCCTGTTAACTTGAATTCATTTAGACCTAATAAAAGCTCTCTGACTGTCTCTTTTGTTATTTCCTCCCTCAGCTTGCCCCATTCCTTATCCAATTCATTCTTATTGGGTAAGTTCCCTCTTGCTTGTTAACAGAAGGCCCACAGCTTTCTTGGTCCTACCCTTGTGGCCAACATACATATTGAACCTCTTTTTGTTGTCCATAACCTCCTTTGCCAGCTACAACTCATTCTTTAGCTTTGTCTTTGTGATTTTGTCCCTGTAGGTTCTTGAAAAAAAAAGAAGAGCTTGTGATTGTTTTAAATCTGCCTAACTAGGAATCAGGAGCACTACTGTGTAAAGATGTCCTGTGAATATGAGATATAAATCTTAGTAAATATTTTGAAAATGTTGGGACTCTATTTTTGAGGTATTATTTTAGTAAGCAGAAAACTAAGTTGTCCATAGATACTTCCATAGCAGAACCAGAATAAAATAATTTAATGATGCCTGACAGTAGCGATGCTGATGTCTTGAGATATATCCATATTCAAGCAGCAGTACAAGATATCTCAAAGACTATTGCGGCATTGTTAATTAGTCCAATAAATTAGCTGTAAATATTTATGTTAATGCCATTGCTTAATTGCTGTTATAGTTATGTTTGGCTAGCAAAAGCTGATAGAGGGAACTTATCTTTAGGACTCTATTATGAGATGGTTGGAATTAGTTATAAGGTTATGGAGGCTCAAGTTTGCTAATATTGATTAATCAGAGTTGAATAAAGCAGACTTCTTTCAGGCCCTTTGGCTATGAATAATTTTTGAATAACACAGTTTGTAATCCACCAATATTGTGGCTGGCCACATGCGGGATATTGGGTCAGATTATTATAAGAACAAGAAATCAGCTTAAAAATTTGGATACAGATCCATGTTCAGATTCCAGATTCTGTTCTCCTTCTGGGCATATGTGATTTATTTCCATTTCTATTTTAAGAACCTTCAATATGCAGAGTCTGAATTAATTTAAGGAAGTCCCACCAGATACTGAGTGCAGATGTCTCCTAGCTCAGGACGTAAATGTATTAACATACTACAGTTCTACTTGTAATGGATTACAGCAATGAAGTCATGAAATGAACTAAAAATATATAACAGTAATTCTGAGTTATCCTTTTCAACTTCTGGTGTGCACATTTCACACTTCCCATTTAAAAATACATATGAAAGTATATAGTGCCCTCTAGTGTTTGCTGTATTCTCATTTCATTTTTAAATTAAATGGTATTTTTGCCAGAATAAATTTAAGCCTTCATCTCACCATTAAAAAGAAGCTGTGGCCACCACTTAGCCCCACATTAGTAGGCATAGGCAGATCTAGGATTTAAAAAAGGGGGGTACAGATGGTGTTGCATCATCAGATATAACACAACACACATTTTTCTCTGGTTAAAAAAAAGCTACAAACTTCACTAGTAAGAAGGGTCCTCAAGCTATATTATCCTATTTAAGATTGAGGCAAAAATAAATAAATAACCTCCTTTGTTGGACTATGCTTCAATATTCTATATCATATACTATATTTAAAAACACAACCAATCTGGCAAATATAATCCAAAAATGTTGTTTCATTAATCCTGGACCCATTATAGTTAAATGTTCATTTCTTTTCTAGATTTGAAGTGATTTCTACACTTGAGCTCATGTTCACCTGACTTAAAATTTCCACACCTAAGTTAATGTTTTTAGCTAGAGTTAAAAAAGAGCCAGGCTGTGAAATGGGAGCTACATTGCTAGTAGCAGCTAACAGACAGCAGCATTGCAGCCCATTAAAGACCATTTACAAGGAAAGAGGGTCATTAACACCTGTGAAATGATGATTTAGAAGGAATCAAGCAAGTCAGACTGAGCCATTAATTCAACTGACTCCCCAATGCTGTCTGAATGTAAGTGATGCAGCCACTGCTAGTTAGTTGGCTTTAAACTTTGGATGGATCAGGAATCAAAGACTGCACTGGTGCATCCACAAGTGTAGCAATGCAACCCTCCCTCCCATGCTCTGATTCACTCCTGTTGCTAATATTATGTCTATCTTCATGCTATTTGCAACAGATTTTCTGCAATGCACTTAGCCAGCAACCAAGTGATTTGAGAAATACAAATACCAGCCTTTCACACTTTTCACTTAGAACATATGGTGAAATCCTGGCTCCATTGAACTCATGGGTGTTTTAGCCCATTGTGAATTAATATACATCCTGTTTTATTATTTTCTAATTTCTTTGAAATAATTTTTTGTCTTAGTAATGCAGGCAATTTGCCATAACGTACATGCTACAATATGTTTTCATTTCATGCTGATTAAAATTTCACTTCTGATTGTTGTATTTTCAGTGTCTATGCAACCAGAAAAATAAATTAATAAGATTAATAAGTGGGTAAATACATACAATTTACAATAGTACAAAACTATATTTTACCTTTCATTTAATTGTGTTATACATAATGGAATTGTTCCAAAGATTGTTAGACCATTGTGGGAGAAATAATGGGTAGGGAACCTCAGTTAATGTATGTCTGTGTAGTTCCGTTAACTTAAATGTAGCTACAATAGTTTAAACAGTTGAGGACTCAGTCTCCATTTATATGCCTCTGTGGTTGGTTTTAAATCATTCTGGGCACATTTACATGGTCATGAATGTGTCTTAATTATGGCTCATTTAGTTTAGTACCTGTAATAACAACTTAATGTTCCATAATCAGTGCCATTGCCCAGTAGTGCTGGTGCATGTTTTCTATGTAATTCTACTGTGCGTTAGCTCATTAGCATGTCTTTCACTGTGATGTGCTAATATGCAGCAGAATTAGTCTACTGACTTCTAGTGTCTCATGTAGATGCACCCCTTGAGTCATGCACTGAAAAAGAAATTGGTAGTGCGTCTTTAGTTATCAATCTTTCATTAAAATAAAGTTATGTAGGATTTGTGCCATAAAGTTTCTGATTTACAAGGGATGTTTTTAAAGCAGAAATTTTAATAGTGTAAGCGCATTTAAATTTGACCGAAGAAAAAACAGCTCTAAACATGGATGCTCAAAAATCCTGTATTCTTAATAATCTTAATATTCCCCAAATATGTGTGGATTTATTTTTGTAAATTTACTTAGACAAACTAACACCATTTATTTAGTTTCTCCAGAAGAGATGCCACGTTATGTGACACTGTGTTTTATTTTGTAACCCATCTGCTGCTTAGGCCAGATATGCATTTTCTGGATGCAATCTGTTGGTTTCCAATGGTTTACTACATGGTGGGCTCTATTGACAAGTAGGTGAAACAATCCTTGAAACACTAAACGTTGTAGTGATCCATAGTTCGTTGTGTGCTGTGCTTTGTGATTGCATGTTTAAGTGTGGTGTCAGTATTGCAAGACAATATTCTCACATGCATGGTTCATATCAATGTTCAATGTTATTTGGGATTTTAAATTTCTATCAAAGGACCTAATTAAAAAATGGCCAAATCTGAGGTTTTACGTTGCACTGCATTGCTACTGACAATCCTATCAAATGCTCTTTCTGGTACTGCATTTCTAGTTGAGATCCTAAGGACCTCTAGCTGAGACTCTGGCAGGGCTGTCCCTAGTCGGGGCGCAAATGAGGGCGACTGCCCTGCGGGCAATGCTGTACAGGCCTCACCATGGCTGCCATACACCACCGCTGCCAAGCACCACCGGCTCTGCAACCACTGTTGCTGAGAGCTGCTGGCTCCAGCCACTCACCACCCCTGCCCCCGCTCCACCGGCTCCGGCGACTCATCAGCCCCACCCTGCCTCCACTGCCAATGCTGCCACTGGCTTCCCAAACCAGTTGCCAGATTGTCAGAAATTATGAACTCTAAAGCTACCACTGGGTTCTAGATTAATAGTTAGGCAACATATTTTTGCTCAGACTTTGGCTGTCTGCAGTGCTGCTAAAGTCAGCATTAAGACTAGATTCAATACTGTAACCACTGACCACCTAAACTGAAAATCCCATAAATGAGACACCCAAAGTTCAACAGAAATCTTGAAATTCTGATGAATTTCTAGGTCTGAGGTTGAGCTTTCCTCTTCACTCACACCTGTTTGCAGCATATTTGGAATTCACTCAGACAACACAAACTGTGATATTCTCCAGTTAAAATCCTGATCCTACAGATATCAATGGGAATTTTGCCATTGATTTCATGGGAAGTCAGGATTTTTACTGTCTGCTTCCAAGAGCAGGTCTGCATAGGTAACTTTTCTAATGCTCAGATTTTTACAATGGGTTCATATAATAATATCCTTATGAATTTACCTTGATAATATCATAGATATTATGACCTCTATTATAAATATGTAGACATGATTTCAAACTTTATGAAATGTATTGGATTCTAGACATCAAACAAGAAATTACTTGGGTAAGTCATATCTATCATAATTGTATAATTTCATTTATTTTTCAGATTATTCATAATCACTGCAAAATTATAAGAGGATTCACACAAGATAAATCAAATAAAATTATATTTTAAAAGTTATGTTGGAAGTGATTTCCTGAGCATTTAGAAAAGAATAACTTACAAATATGCACAAAGTTAAAACAATGGAAAACTTTCAATACTACACCCAATATTAATTATGCTAACTTTGCTTTTCATTCAGAGGGTGACTGCATTCCAGGGATCAATTATTTGTTTTGGTCTATTTCTCACTAAGTGCAAGTATTTGTTAATACTCACTTTGCTCATGTCTAGTCATATTGCATTGTATTATAATATAGTTAGTTGTGTTTTACATTTGTATTTCATTGTTTTGCTACATACAGTGTAAGATCATACTAGCAACTTCATGAAATTCATCCTACAGTATTTAAATATCAAGCAATAAATATGTAAATAAATAACTCAATAATATTTCCACATATACGTTCCACAATACTTTCTCCCAAACGTTCTTTTAATACATTTATATATTTTATAAAATTGTTGCACGCAGAAAACTGTCTACATTCCTAGAGAAAGTTGAGTGATTTAAGTGACCAAGAAAGGAATAGTGTTTTATATAATTGGAGATGTCTAACTTGCCTAATTATCTTCACTGCAATTTAAAAAAATGCAGATAAGTAACATACAAAATACCTTAGGCTGAACTCACATGAAGCAAGGGAAATCAAGGGAATGTGATGGACCTTTACTAGTGGCTTCAAGCTATTTAAGCAATTGGGTACTGACACATGAAGGAGCATCTATTTAGTTGTAGCCTGAGAAATAATGCAAGATGGGTGCTCAATATGTTCATTATGAGAAAACAGTACTGGAATAAGTATGTTTATGTATCATTTTACACTTTCTTTTTCTCACTCACATAATGATCTATGGATAATTTAGCAGAAGTTTTCATAAGTACCACAAATCTATATAATTAAAAAGGCAATTTTTTTCCAAGTATGAAGGATCAAAGGTCTTTCAAGTGAAGATAATTTGGACATTTTAGTTTTGACTTGCTAGACCATATCTTTGAAATGACTTTCTTCTTTTCCCTTCTCCTTGTCTTTATTCTTGTACAGTTTAGGCCTTTAAAATTTCATCTCAGAATATTCTTTAGATCACTCTTTAAGAAGTTAGTTTCAGCATTTTCAAAGATACTCATTTTCTTTTTACAGAATAAGAAAAACAAAATCAATCCCCAAAATGATCACAGAAATGATAGCCAGCTGAAAGCAATTTTTCACAAAAAGAAAATTAATGTATATTCATGTTACATTGTAATTGTTTTATTATGTATTGGTTGCAAATTGCACTAAAGCATTACCTTTTATTTAAATAGTGGAGTGAAATTCTTGCCTATCATTATCAACAACTGGGTATATTTTAGAAAAACTCATATTACTAGATCTAAGAAAGGTAATGGCATAAACTGCAGAAGACTGAGGCCTCTATGTTGGACATATAAGCTAACATAAAACCTGTTTTAACAGCTTTGGCATAAAAATGTAAGCCAACCTGAGCTTCAGAAGAAAGTTGTTAATCTGTGGCCAGTGTGGATTCAGAGGGGGTGCAGTCATGTGAAGGCACCTCCCTTTTGAGTGATGATGCCACAGAAGCAGCAGATGCACCTCCCCCCCTTTGTTTTAAGTTCCAGAATTGGGCAAGAATCCCTACTTCTCCCACCTTCCCCTACATGATCAGTGGCACTTCCCAGTGTTTCCTCCCCCTTCCTCCTTTGCCCACTGTTTCTGTTTTCACAAGCTGTCCTGGGGACAGAGGCTGGAGTGGGGGTAGGGGTGGGAGTGGCAGTGGGGGTGGGTTCAGTGGAGGCTCCAGAGCTTCTTTGGCCACTATAGACAGGCTCTGTGGGGAACCAGGTTAATCCAGGTATGGCAGCAGCAGTGGATGGGTTTATCCTCCCTGGCCAGCGCCCCCAGGGTGTTATCTGCCAGTCCAGGAGTAGGCAGGGGAGAAGGGAACCTACCAGATGCTGCTCTTGCCTCTGGCCAAGGCTGTTTGCAAGTACAGCCCAACTGGAGTGGAGCAAGGGCAGCTTTGAAGTCTCTCCCTTACCTCCAGTTGAGGGACAGCAGCAGTAGCAGGCAGGTGGGGGGGAGGAGGGGAGTAGAGGAAATGTAATGCTGAGCATCAAGGGGAGCTAGGAGGGAGGGAAGATTTTACCTGACTGAGGGACTTTGATTCCTGTTTCCATGGTGTGGTCTTTGCACTGCAATGAATGGAGAGAGGCTGGGGGGGGGCAGACCCCTGCAGTCCCGATTGCTGTTCACATACCCCTTTATGAAACCCTGGATCTGTCCATGGGTATGGCAATAAAATTGAAGAAGAATCCAGGATGATTTCTTTTAAACTAATATGTTCTCTGCTTCTGTGCCCTTGGGCAAGTTTTTCATGTTTGACAAAACTTATGAAAAGATGAGACACTTCCTAACGTGTTAATGAGTATAGGCAGATAAAAGGCATCACCATAATAGTTATAAATGAAAAAGGATAGACATATCAAGACAGACACTGAGCTAGCATAGACTGATATCTTGTCAATGAAAAAATGAGAGTTTAGACCAGGTCAAATATTTCCTATAAAATTCCAGTCTTACACTCTCCTTCCCTCGGTGGTGGTGGTGCCCATCAGGTGGTTCCCACCCACTCTCACCCCACCTGGGTGGTCCTTGGGGATTCTGCCGATAGACCAAGTGGCCCCTGAGCTGTGGGGTACCCCGGACCTTCCCTCCATGGTAGCAGCACCCCCCAGACGACACCTGATGGCTAGCACCTGGCCCAGGTGGTCCTGGGGGGTGCTGCCACGGTGGACCAAAACATCAGGACCCGCAAAGCTCATCAGCTGTGCAACCCAGCAGCAGCTTGTGCAGGCAGGCACGACTGAGGAAAAAAAAGAGAAAAAAAAAGCAATGAGGAGCTTTTTTCTTTTTTTTTTCCTCAGTCAAGCCTGCCTGCATGAGCTTCCACTGGGTTGCACAGCCCCTGAGCTGTGCAGGGCCTGGTGCTTCTCTCCACCATGGCAGCACCTCCCAGGACCACCTGGGCCAGGTGCTAGCAGTCAGGTGCCATCTGAGGGGTGCTGCTACCATGGAGGGAAGGTCCGGGGTACCCCACAGCTCAGGGGCCACTAGGCCTATCAGCAGCTTGTCCCCTAGCCACAGGAGAGGCAGGTAGGCTCCAGTACCCCATGCACCATCCCTGCCACATTCCCACTGCCTGGGACCACCCCGAAATGGTCTGACTTGCCCTGGGGCAGAGCAGCAAGGTGGCAGGAGTGCTGCGGGGTGTGCTGGCAATGCAAGAAAGTGGTGGGGACAGTGCACAGGGCTTTGGAAGCCCACTAAACCCGAGCTTCCCTGAGCATGTCTGGGCTTCCAGGGCCCCGTGCACTGTTGCACTTTGTTACATAGCAAACTAAAATATCTCAGATGGGTTTTACCTTGCTATGTAACAAAGTCACTGAAAGTGAAATATGCCACCAAACGTGTAAAGAGCAACACCATTAAAGCAATGTAAGAGGATACTTAAGCTGCTTTAAAGCCAATTTTGTTGCATGTAGAAGCACCCAAAGTTTGTATATTAAATCTATTCAAAAGTAAGACAAAGTGGCTTAATGATGTTATTAGATATCTTTGTAAAGGATATATGTTTAAAGAACCAAATGCATGATGTTTCAAATAGCCATTTCTGTCTTGTTTATTACTTTGACATTATATACATGTAATGATGCAAAAAAACCCCAAACTGAAATACCCTAAATTCTGAGAAGTGGAATAATTGTGTTCTGACAAATTCCATTTTTTATTGCTACATAGTTTTTTTTACTGATTATCAAAAGGTAATATTATTTTGAAAGATCAATGAAAAGTTTGAACACAGAGTGAAATAGAAATCAAATGCTAATCTTCCTTTAAGGAGGATTAACCTAACCTAATCCTTTAAGGAAGATTAATGCATATTGTATAAGAATATTAAATATGTCCCAAGAAATACAACACACAGAATGGCAATAATTAAATTTCAGTTCCTATTGCATATAATTCTAAAACAATTTTATAATATGATAATGTGCTAAATGATAAGTGAGGAACTGAATGTTTTTTTAGATCTGTGTAAGTTATAGTTTTCCTTTCCCATGAGAATTTTAAAAAATAAATATTCTTGCTTGAATTGAAATGAAAGATTGAAATTTTGAAAAATTCACAAACAAAAAAAAAAGAAAAGATTTCAAATCAGATTAACTGGGAGGGCAGGGAGCTTGCAGGAGCTGTAAGCAGACCAAGAAACATGCAGGTCATGGCTACTGACTCTGGATTTAGGACCCAGAGACCTTGATCGGGGAGGGGGTGGGATCCCACCTTTGATAAGGTGTCACATCCTATTCTTATAAAAAATACAAGCAGTTGTAACTTAGATAATTACATGGTCAGGTGGGTGGCAAATTGGCTAATGGAATGCACCCAGAGAGTGGTGGTGGATGAGTTGGTATTGGCTTAGAAAGATGTGGGGAATGGTGTCCCCTAGGGCTTGATCTTTGGGCCGGTGCTGCTCAATATCTTCATCAGTGATTTGGACAAGGGGGTGGAGAGCACACTGTCCAAATGTGTGGATGACACCAAATTTATTAAGGGAGGACAACAGGGAATTGGAGATGTGCTATTTACCAGAGCACCCATAGGAGTAACTAGGAATAGTGGGTGCAAACTAGTGGAGAGTAGATTCAGGTTAGACATTAGTAAGATTTTTTTTTTTACAGTAAGCGTGGCCAGAATCTGGAATGGGCTTCTGAGAGAGGTGGTACTATCACCTAACTTGGAGGTCTTCAAGAGGAGGCTTAATAGACACCTGGCTGGGGTCATTTGACCTCGGCCCTCTTTCTTGCCAGGGGCAGGGGGTAGGACATGATGATCCTTTGTAGTCCCTTCCGACTCTACAATCTATGAATCTATTAAACCAAATTATGGGTCAAGATAGACACACTGGAGGGTAGGGAATGGATCCAGGTGGATTTGGACAGGCTGGAAAAGTGGGCAGAACAAAATAGGATGCAGTTCAAGAAAGAAAAAGTGCAGAGTGCTGCATCTAGGGAGAAGGAATCACCAATGCACATACAGATTGGGGGATGACTTTCTAAGCAGCACAGCAACAGAAAGGGATCTCAGAGTCATAGTTGACTCAAAGATGAATATGAGTTGACAATGTGATGAAGTGATCAATAGAGCTAACCACACTCTATCATGCATTAACAGGTGCATCACAAACAGTTCTAAGCAGGTGATACTTCCCCTCTATGTGGCATTAGTAAGGTCACAGCTGGAGTATTGCATCCAGTTTTGGGCAACAGACTTCAAAAGGGATGTGGATAACTTAGAGAGGGTCCAGAGAAGGGCCACTCATATGGTTAGGGGCCTGCAGGAAAGGTCCTATGAGAGGAGATTGAGGAACCTGAATCTCTTCAGCCTCTGTAAGAGAAGGCTGAGAGGGGATCTGGTGGCCATCTACAAATTTGTTGTGGGGAGCAGCAAGGAATAGGAGATAGTCTGTTTACCAAGGCGCCCCTTGGAGTAACTAGAAACAACGGCCACAAACTGACAGGAAGCAGATTCAGATTAGACATTATGAAGAACTTCTTTATGGTTAGGGTTAGCAGAACCTGGAATGTGCAGAACCAAGGGAGGTGGTGCTCTTCCCTACTTTGGAGGTCTTTAAGATGAGACTGGACAAACACCTGGCTGGGGTCATCTGACACCAGCACCCTTTCCTGCCCAGGGGCAGGGGGTTGGACTCAATGATCTTCCAAGGTCCCTTCCAACCCTAAACATTTATGAAATCTACATGAGGGGGCTTATATTACTGTAACTACATACATTATAGAAAAAGCTCTCTCAAAAAATGTATTGCTTGGCTCCCTCCCTTCTGCTCTATAGCCTCAGCACTGCTTATTCCTCTGTGTTCCTTTACTCCCTTCTTCCCTTGTAGAGGAAGAAACATTGGTCCTTCAAGTCATTTGCATACCAAAAATTCCCATTTAAGAAAAAAAAGGAGGGAAAGAATAAGAAACACAGAGCATAAAAGTTCAAGAAGAAGTACAATGGAAAGGCTGAGCCTACATTCTATATGGCAAGAGCACCAGAAACCACAGTAATACCACCATCACCCTAAAGAAGATTCTGACTCAATTTAAATAGAGTTATTAAATTTAGGGATCATAAAATGATTTGAGAGATGACTGCTTGGCATTAATTTAGTAGGACAGAGGAGGTTTTCATAACTTAATTTGATTTTCAAAATCCATTTTTATTTGGAGATATGTATCTTTTATGGAGTACTATAGGTAAAATTTTAATTCAGTAGCTACATTTTGTTCTTCTTTAAGCCAAGACTAACTAGATATCACAAATTCCATATAAATATGTTTATATTCTACCAGAAATCTAAACATATATATATTAACTATTTAAAACAGGCAATGGACTGTTTCCAAATGATGGTGTGTATATCATTATTTAATTTTTTGAAAACATAATGGCATTATCTTTTAGGCTAGGGAAGGGACTGCTTGTACATTATGGCATAAACTGTGCAGCATGTTATGCTCTGAAAGGGGCTCGGTTCCTGCTCTTCTCTGAATATTACTCCTACTATTGCATGAGCTCAAATGGTAGTTATGGATATGTAAAACTGATCTTCAGCTAAGGGTGAATAGTAGAAAAGGGAGATGGTGAGAAAAAGAGTCTGTGTCAGATGCTACATTGCATTACAGCATTTCAAACATGTATGCCAATATCTTTGATATGAAAAGAGCCATGTTATGGCACTCACATGAGGCAGGCAGCCATTGTAATGATTTGTTAAAAACACTTGTTGTAGAAAGGTATGCAGCCTCTAAAAATAATTGTTAAATACTTATAAAAATGGAAATAATTTTACTAATATTCTTTAAAGGAATGGAGAGGGGCTAAGCAATCCTTGATAACTTGCTTCATGGAAAATTATTATTATTCATATTAAACTGTCCACATTTGTTCTACTGAAATGGTTGTACTGTATTATGTTAATAGTTATGGTGTGTTCAGGTGGTTACATAATGGTTACATTACGTTAATAGTTATGATGTTTTCCCAGAATATTCTGAATAAAATATTTTTCAATTCACTTTGTTATTCTAGTGCTATATATTTAAATTTCTGTATTTTTTCTGTTCCTCTTCACAAAAGCCTAGATGATTTGCTAAGATGCGGGGTGACCTTTGCAGCCAATATGGTGGTTGTGGACAAGGAAAGTACAATGAGCGCTGAAGAAGACTACATGGCTGATGCCAAAACTATTGTAAATGTCCAAACGCTATTTAGGTAAGTGGTTTCATAAATAACCCACACATCTTTGTTAATCTTTAATTATTTTAGAATTCTTTTTTTATGATAGGAGGGACTGAGGCATTGCCTCTCAACTGTCTTTCTTCTTCCTCTCCTTTCCTTAAACATCTTGTTCTATGATCAAGCAAAATTGTTGTTTCTGCTTGACAAGCTACACAAGTCTGCTGAAATGTTAGATTTCAGATTTGAGATTCAACTTCTCACATCCCAAGATGACCACCCATTCCCTTCAGAGTCTTCAGGAAGTAGTTGGCTATTTTGTGGGATGGGAAAGAAGCCAGTTAGCTGCTTACTCAAGAAATCCATTACAACTTTTCTGTCCATAAGATATCACGTGATGAGATTAGAATCTTAAACCCTTGAAGTAGGTCCTGTGAGAAAGGGAAAAATTATAAGCTGGGTTGTTGGTGAAAATATATATATATACTAGCCAAGTGGCTGTCAAGAATGGCAGGGGGTGGAGAGGCAGGGGAGGAGGGGGATGGGATGGAGTCACCTAACACCCCATGCTGCCACTGTTCTGCTTCTTGCAGGGAGCAGGGTGGGGGAGCCAAGGCCAGCACTGTTGGCCTTGGCTCTCCCACCCCCAGTCTGGTCCTCAGCGCTGCTTGGGAATCATGGTGGTGCTCCCCCACACTTGGAGCACTCTGGTTGGCTGTTTCCATCAGCCAATCAGAGTGCAAATAAAGACAGACCGCCAGAATTAGGGTTTTATAATATTAGACTTAGGCTTTTATAATATTTATATAGAGGGCATGCTCACATCAGCTGGTTACCCAAGGTAAACACATGTGGAGACTTACAGTTGTATAGCTGTTACATGGTAACTGCCCATGTGAAAACCTTACAGTGAATGCAAACTACCTTGTGATTTCTTAGTTCTTGATGTTTTGTAGTTTACATTTACTATGGAATAAGAACATGTCCAGGGTCATTGGCATAGTAGCTACAGGCGGAAGCTTTCTGTTCTCACCATAGTTTACCTTGTGTTACCTTGTTCTTGTGTCAATGTCCATCATAATTTGGAGAGGTATACAAATACCTAGTTTGCTCCTATATTTGCACGAAATTAGTTTTTTCTGCCTTTTGATTTAAGAATGATAAATCAGAAAGGAGTCTGAGAAACTGGTGCTCAGTCAAAGATTTAGATAATTTAGGGCAGGGTTTGGTTTGTGAACTTCCCCTAAAGCCTCAGTTTCAGTTCAGTATAACATGTCTAAAATTGTGACTCAGCAAAGCGCTTAAGCATAAGCTTCACTCTAAGCATATGAAGAGTATAAAAGAGCCAACGAGATTATTTATGTATTAGAAGCTACATGTGTACTTAATAAGTTTCTGAATAGGGTCAACAGCTCTAAAAATGAGCAAGTGGTTCATGTCAAAGTGTTTTTTTGCAGAGAAGCACAATTAAAGGATTCATCTTGCAGTCCTCCAAATCAATGACAGTTCAGTCACTGACTTTGCACAAAGTACAAGGAAAAAAGAAGTGTAGGCCTGGGCCCTTCATTTTAGCAAATACATAACATAACTTGTTAAGATTTCATCTGCAAAAGTAGTGCAAATTGCATTCCATTTCATAAGAACAAAATATTTTGAGAGAGACATGTTATGAAACTAACAGAGAAACATAGTGGAAAATACAGGGTCTCTCATCATCACACATATGCTGATGAAACTGCACAGGCAACCACTGTTGCTTTTTAACTTTTGAGTGCTTGACTTTGCAATGTGAATAGTGCTGTTTTAACACAGTTGTATGTGGTTGCATGTGAAATATTCAATAACAAATTATGGTGTTTAGTTTGCAACTGTGATGAAGCTTAAAACTTGACTGTCAGTGGTTTTTCTTCAATTTATCCCACATACTGGGTTTGTACTTTTCAAGAACGTACTTCCTGTAATAATTATAAAATGTTTGAGAGTTAAACTTGGAGTTAAATGTTAATTTTTCATCTACTGATTCATTTTTCTTTATGTTGGAAGATACCTGTGAAATAAATGAAAACTGCAGTATGTGTCACAAGCATGCAAACATGAATGATACTACCTCTCTTAACAGCTTTTTTCACTAGATGGCAACTTTAACTCATAGCTGAAATATAGATTTCTTTAAATATATATAGCATTCTAAAAGAAGACAAATGAATGATTTTTAATCCATTTAGAAGATTTCAAAATAGGTTTTGAAATGTCTATAACTAGATGGAAAACTTTCACTAGTATTATTTTATAAATAATGTAATATGACTAAAATATTAGAAACAATTTTTTACAGACAAAACAGGACTGGGATTAAACAAGTGCATTATTCATGGAATTTTGTGACAGTATATTTTATTAGAGTACATGTTTAAACAATTAGTTTAACCATCTTATTAAATCTAACTAGGGGTATAGGGAAGCTATATTTCAATACAGCAATACAGTTTAAGAGGAAATGTGGGAGAAAAAAAAAAGATGTTTACTTCCAAATAATCTAGGTTACACAAAGAAATTCAAGATTGAAATAGGATGTTTAATACATGCAAGTATAATGTGATATTGTTTGGTAGAAATACTCCATAAGAATATTTTCAAAGTTGTTGGTAGGGAAGTAGACCTATGGAATTTGTTATATCAGCCTGAAAAATGTGTTAAACATGGGTCTAGATTTTAGTTATGCATTGAAAATAAGTATCCTTAAAAAGAGTGAGTAACTAAGTGGTGTAACCAGGGAAAATGGCTCCCCCACTGACTTGGGGGCGGGGGGCATGCAGAAAATAATGTTACCACTACAGCCCCACATAATCACTCCAGTGGCACGGTGGCATCTGGAAGTTGCCACTGCCCTTCTGTGTCACAGCTGGCTGGGATTCCTGGATACATTGTTATGCCTCTGTACTGAGCGTTTCATGGGAACATTATAGAAGGATTTAAAAAACACTGGAGTATTTTGCTAAATATATTGTTTTCACATGGATCATTGTCTGTACATCTGTTGTCTGTACATCTTCGGTGTTAGGTAAAGTGAATATTTTAGTCACACCAAATCCATGCTGCTGCAGCAGCCACATGCAACATACAAAGCAGCGACAGCTGGGTGCAAGGACTCTGTGCTGTTGCTGTATTAGCAGAAGCAAGAGCAGCATTATCTGCACCAGCAGCAGCTGGGGACTTGGGGTCCCTATACATGAGTGCAGAGGCTGCTCTGATGTGCTGTGTATGTCACAGCAGACTCAATTAATCGGGTCTGCTAGAGCATGGCAATTGCCGTGCTCCAGCAGCCTCCTGCATCTTGTGTGTCAGTGTCCCCCCACTTAAAAATGACAGTTGGGGGGCACTTGAACTACAGCTTGTCAAATGAGCTTTTGTTCAAGTACACCTGCTGCTATTTTTATGTATGGAGATGCTGATATAGGAGATGTAATTAAACCGGCTCTCAGAGCCGCTGTAATTAAAAGTGCTGCCCCTCTCCACCCTCAGATAATGTGTAAAAGTGCCCTTTGAGTTCCCAGGGAAGGTAACACTGATTTCTCCCTCCCCACTCTGGTCTCCAGGGTTTGATGTCCTCTTTCACTCAGGGTTTTGTCCAAGTCACAGAACTTGCTAGTTATTCTTCTACCCAGTGTTTCATTCACAACTTAAAGAATAAACTAAGACTCTTAAAGCCAACTGGAATGAACTAAGTAACTTCAAGGACTGTAGCAGGCCCTGAAAACATAAAATATTGTAATACTTTTCAGCCTTTTAATAGCTTAATGGCCTAAGCTGTTAGATCTTATAAAGCCAGGCACCCATTTCTCATATAAATTATAAATTCTGACATTGCTTTGTGGTTTAGTTGAATTAAATATTTTGCCTAGTTTAAATAATTCTTCTCCTGTCACACACATCCTTAAAGGATAAATGTTCAGTTTATGCCATTTCCTTTTTTATCTGTTGAAGGCTAGAAACATGCCATGCTGTAGCAGGTTGCCACCTCATGGCCTCTTCAGCAAGGCTTTTGCTCCCTGAGCATCTTTCAGGACCCCCAGTAATAAACAGAGTTTTTAAAAACCATTTGGCTTTTGTTTCCTTGGGCATCTGTCAGTATTCCCTAGTAATATACAGAGTATTTTAAAAAATAAAGCAAATAAAAAAGCCTTCTTGTCCTGGACCATGGGAGGTATCCCCCATGGCTCCAGCCTTCCTGTAGCAGGCTTATCTTCCTTCATAGCTCAGCAACCTCCTGCTCTGGTGCTTCTCCTCTGCAGCCTCTCTGGATCTCCTTGCTGGGGTTTTGACTCCCAATGAGCCACTACCTCATTAACTTTCACACAGCTGCTGCCTCTCAGCCAGACTGACTGTCTCCTTTTAATGGGACAGGCACCCTATTGTGCATGCCAATTAAAATGATGGCACAACATCACCTTATTTTACTTAATTATAGCTTAAAGGGAGTAAATGGGTATGAATCCAATGGTCTCACTGAATATAACCTGGATCATTAATCTTTTGGATGTAAAGGAACAAGTTTAGCTCAATTTAAAAGTAGAAATAAAACATATTGGCTTGGGCTGTCCATAGGCCATAGGTTTCAGGGTAAAACATGACATTGACCAGGAAAGACAAACTGACAGCCCACTGTTAGGAGGTTCATCCTCCACCTCTTAAGTAGACAATACTTGACTCTACAATGGGATTGCCTTATGGGATGGGATGGGCCCGGATGTAGCCATGGCACCCCCTAATGGCCACAGTAACCCTACCCTAGTCTAGTTTCTCTGTGTACCACTATTCTTCTCCCACTTGCAGTCTCACCTGCAAGGCCTCAGTGAAAATGTTCTATGACAGTGGAAGGGTCATCTGTCCTCCCCCACCCCGAGCATCTTGGAGTGATCTTACTGATGCTGCCTTAACCCTAACTTAATTTACTTAGTTGGACCCCTCAGTCCACTATCAAATACCTATTCTGAGCCCTGCTGGCACTTATCAGGCACCCCTCATATCCCCATAGG